AAAAAAAAAAAAAACAAAACAAAAGAAAGTGAATCCTGGGGAGCCTGGGTGGCTCAGTCGGTTAAGCGTCTGACTTTCGCTCAGGTCATGATCTCGCGGTCCGTGGGTTCCAGCCCCGCGTCGGGCTCTGTGCTGACTGCCAGCTCAGAGCCTGGAGCCTATTTCAGAGTCTGTGACTCCCTCTCTCTCTGACCCTCCCCTGCTCACGCTGTCTCTCTCTCTCTCTCCTAGAAATAAATAAAATATATTAAAAAAATAAAATAATAAAATAAAATAAAAAACGATTGCAATGGCTCCAAAGCGTCTAGAAATGCGACTTCCTCAGTCCCGTCTCCAAGCTCAGACCGGGACAGGTGCCCGCTTCCGGTCTGCGCTCATTCTTCCAGGGCCAACAGCCATCACCTGTCCGAAAAGCAAGGCCCAGAGAGGGGAGACCTGCCTGCGGCCCCTCTCAGGGGACACAGGTCCCCAGGCGAGCACGCAGGAGGGCGGCACAGGAGGGGCTTCCACGGTGCACGTGGGACGGCAGTGCCGAAGGACACAGCCCAGCGGGTGCCCCTGGGGGGGGCGCGCGTCAGAGCACAGGCTAACGCACCGACATCGGGTTTCTCTCCCTGTATTCTCCGCCCCCCAGTTCCAGAGCAAAGACCCAGCCGCCTCTCCACCCGGGCCTCCGGGAGTGTGTGTGAGACGCAGAAATTGCTAGCAGACGGTTCCTTGCTCCCACGTGACATCAGGTACGTGAGGGACGGTCCAAAACGACGGGGCAGGGTTCAAGGGGAACTGAAGAGGCAGCGCCGGGACTCGGAGAGCCAGGGGGCGCCGGAGAGAGAGGGAGGCAGGCAGGCCAGGGTGGAAGACACCAGCCCGGGCAGAGGCTGGCGGGTCACGTGTGTCCTCTGGCCCAGCACGTAAGTGCCTGCGTGCGCCACGATGTGCGTCTGTGACCAGACCTGTGAAGTAGCTCGTGCCGCCGACTCCGGGCGTGTCTGGGTGTGTCGACCTCAGCCCCAACTCCCCTGCCGCAGACACAGCTCGAGGAGTAAAAGGGGCACCTGTGGCCGGGCCCAAGCCCGGGGCCTGGGGGCCCTGGGGGGCCTGGGTGAGAAGCCAGCTGCCATCGGCGAGGCAGGCGACAGGGGGAAGCCCTGAAGGTCTTCCACGTGGGGCTAGAGTGTGGGCTCCCACTCCAAGGAGCTCACTGGCTCCAGAGTCACCAAGTCCACCTGAGACTCTGGGACTCTCTGCCCCTTCGGGAACCAAGGCCACTCCCACCCGTGGGCCGAGGGCACGCAGGGCCCCTGCCCTCTCTGCTCCAGCCTATTCCTCGGTAACAGGGTTGCAGGCCAGGGCCATGCCCTCCCACCCCCAGGGCTCCCAGGGAGGGTGCGAGCACAGGGCTGTGTCCCGATTCCACCCAAGTTCTCTGGGCAGGGCAGGTCTGGGATTTGGGAAGTAGAGGGAAAGGTGTCCTCCTCCACGAAGGCTTCTTGGATTTCTGGGTATCCTGAAGATGCAACATCTCAGCCTCACAGGCCCAGAGCCTGTCTTGTTCTCAAATTCCCCCAACACTTCCTGACCACCCACTTTATGCCAGCGGTCCTCTTCTCGGGGTTCGGGCCCCCGCTAACCGGCCTTACTCTTCGTTGCCCGTGGCCAGCATCACCAGTGCCACCTCGTCCTCTAACCAAGTCTGGCTGCCAAGTGGGGCCCACACTCCAGTTTCTTCGGCCCTCGACGCCCTAGAGAAGCACACCGGCCCTCCCAGCCCTGAGCACTTTTCTGCGAACACCCTGGGGGAAGCTGAGCAGGAGGGCAGCTCGGGACGGCGAGGCGACGCAGGGGCAGGGCCGAGCCCGCTCTGGCCGTGGTACTGAAGAGAAGGGAGAGATTTCCCTTGGCCCAAGCTTCTTCCAGCTGCACGGAGAATTAAACTGACGTGAGACAGATTAACGTGGGGGGGGGGGGGGCAAAGTTTTCTTCTGTGTACATGGAGGCCCCGTAATGAAATTGGGACCCAAAGAAATGACCAAGGCGGGCAGTTTTTATACTTTTTAGACACAGAGATAATAGATTTGTGAAGAACTGGCAAGATGAAGAAGAGACTTTGGGCTGGAGTAGTAAGTTCGTAAAGGTACCAGGCCTGTTCTGAGGTCTCTGGTGATAAGGTGCCTCTTTACCTCCTGGCGCAGGTGGGGCACCTGTCACACGGGAGGTTTAGTTCCCGATTTCAGGGGCACAGAGGGCCTGTGTGTCCTTCCCGCACAGGGTGGCTTTCAGGAAACTTTGATTTAAAATAATCATTATGCCAGGGGCGCCTGGATGGCTCAGTAAGTGGGGTGTCCAACCCTTGATGTCAGCTCAGGTCATGATCCCAGGGTCACGGGATCGAGCCTCAGGTGCCCAAGGAGCCTGCTCAAGATTCTCTCTCTCTCCCTCTGCCCCTCTCACCACCTCACATGCTCTCTTGCTCTCTCTCTCTAAAATAAATAAATAATCAAATAATCAATATGCCAAAGGTGCACATTTTGGGGCAGCTTGCCCTTGGGCCCTACACTCTACCCCAGGGAACTGGCGGGCACTGAGTCCAACTGCCATATCCTGTTGGGCACATGCAAAGGGCCTCACAACACGGGGCCGCCAGAGGGCAGGCTGCACCCGCTGGACCACTGGCTCATCCGGGGCCTTATTCTTGGCAGTGAAGTGTCCGTAGGTGGGAAGGACGCTTTGCACGGGTCCCACATGGGGACAGACGGAAAGCGTCCCCGGGGACCAGAGCACAGAGCAAAGATGGCCAGGACGGCCCGGGTGTCGGTGGCCACGGGCACTTGGTTGGAGGAATCTGTGTGACGGGTTGCGGGAGTCTTGGAAAGGGAGACTCAGGTCGTCGTGGGGGCAGCAGGGACGTTCAGGGCCGGCCGTCAGGAGTGAGGCCTCGGGCAACCTGCACGGGAACGACAAGACAGCGTGTCTTGGGCGTAAAGCCCTCTGGCTCCCCAACTACACCCGGAACCTCGGGCTCATAGCAAGTCCCCCTGGGGCCCCCACACCCTTGAGTCAGAGGCGCTGTTCCCAGGCCACTGCAGCCCAGGCATGTGACCATGGCTGGGCCACATGAGCCGGTACAGTCCCCATCGCTGCTTAGCCTGGATTGAGCTGGATTAAATGGTACCTGTTCTTTGCTCAAGAAGTATCAATGGCTCCCGATTACCCACAGGTTGAAGCGGCTCTTCCGCCACCACAATGTCCTGCCGTTCCTCAGACGAGCTTCTCGTGGCCGCTGGGCTTGGAAGAGCCCTCTGACCCAGACGCTGCGGGTTCTGGAGGCGCTTCTGCCAGCACCTTATCCGCTGCGAGGACCCTGGACAGCCAGGACAGGCCACTTCTACTCTGTGCCACCCCGATTATTTCTCTGCATCTTCCGTTAGGCTACGTCCCCCCCCCCCCCACGGGAGCTATGTCTACTGCATTTGGCCCAAGCCTGGCACCCTGAAGGCCCCCGAAAACGTACCTGATGAATATATAAACGACTTGTGTGGCTGCAGCCTGTCCTGCAGCTAGAACAGGCCTTTTTTGGGAGCTGACCGGACTCTGGGCTGGACTCTGGGCTGGTCCACTGTAAGAACTGCCACCCAGAGGAACCGCATCCAATCCCAAGGTCCTAGGTCCCAAGGAACCACATCTAGGCAGAGAGACTTGTGAGCGGACTCAGGTCTGTATCCGCTTCACTGACCACCAGGCACCGCTGCCCAGACCCCACTTCTCCTCCTTTCCCAACAGGAGACTGCTGCCCTGAGCCAGAAGCAGCTAGAATCAGAGAAAGACCAGAAAAGCTGACGCTGAGATAGAAACTAAGTAACAGACACAAAACTCAAGACTGAGATGCCCACAGAGAGGACAGAAAGCTGACGAGGCACAGAGATTCCAAGAGAAAGAGCAGGGCCAGCCAGGCTGGGAAGGGCAGGGCCAGAGAGCGGCCGTCAGCCCCGCTCCTGACCAGCGCCGCGCCTCCTGCCTCCCGCCCCGCCCCCGCCCCAGGCTGGTAGCAGGCGCCGTACAGCCCTCGGAGTGACATGAGCCCCACACGTCACCCGTCTTCAACCCCGGGGCCGCTCTTCCCTCTGGCGGGGCGCTCACTCTGCACAGCCGCCCCCCAGGGGCCCGCTCCGTACCCCGTGCGCCTCCGTCAAGGGCGGCCTCTCTGGCCCCTGTCCCGCGCCACGCTGGAGGCCACCCCCAGCTCTCCCAGAGCCTGCGGGCGGGCGGCCCGCGCCTCCATCCTCCCACCGGCCCCCGGCCCTGGCCTCGCGGGGCCTGGCCGCCCGTGCTGGGGCCACGTCCCGCCGCCCTTGGTGGCCTCACTCTGCCCCCACTCTGTGCAGCGCTTCCTGGTGGGCCATGGTTCTTCCTACGTCTTTCATTTGTCTCTGTTTTTGTTTGGTTTTTTTTATGTTATCCACTAATTTTCTATTTAAATAAAAATTTAAAGAAAAATAGAAAAAATTGTGCGTATGGTACAAGGACGCTGCATTGTAATAGTTTGGGATTGTGACTCAGACATCTCGGTGCTCTGTTCAGACCCCTTAGATCCCTTTTACGGTTTCTGGGCATCTCTCTCTGGGACTTGGGCTTCGGCCTCCGTGACTCGTACCTGTCCTCAGGTCACTAGGTCTGTTTTGATTCCATTCCGCAAGAGCCCAAGGTGCCTGGGGGCTTCAAGCCCCCTGAATCCCAGGGACAGCCCATAGCTCCAGCTGCCACGTGGGAGGAGGAGCCCGCTTCCCTAACCCTCGTCCCAGACAACTGTGCGACCCTGCCCAGAACAGAACCTAACAAACACATGGTGGGCACTCCGTGTTTGTTGAGAGAACAAACACGGCCAAATTTACCAGTCTTATCCTTTGTAATTTCTGTATTTCTTTGTAATTTGCGTCACTCTTAGCTTTTCCCATCTGACATCACAAAGCATTTACCTATATTTGTTTTTGTTATATTTATGAATTGAGGTTTAAAATTTTTATTTACTTTTGTATTTTAGAGTGAGAGCATGCTTGTTTGAGCAGGGGAAGGGGACAGGAGGGAGAGGGAAAGAATCTTAAGCAGGCTCCATGCTCAGCATGGAGCCCAACGCGGGGCTCCATCTCAGGACCCTGAGACCACGACCTAAAGCCAAAATCAAGAGTCGGACACACTCAACCGCCTGAGCGACCCGGGCGCCCTTATGAATTTTTTATATTTAATTATTTGAGTCCATCTGGCTATGCTGTAAGGACTGAGATAAATGTATCTTCTTCTCATGACTAATCAGGTGAACCAATGGCAATTCTTGAATCTTTCCTTCATCTATCAAACCCAGATACTATCTTATCTAAGACTCATTCAGTGGGGCATTAAGCAATCATTTATTATGGTAGTTATAAATGATTATGCCACCACATGGAAAAATGCTCACCTTATAATTTTAACCATGATATTTTTATAGCTACATAAAAGTATGTCGACATATTGGCAAAGGCAGGGAGAAGTAGAGAAAAGTAGATGGATTGAGGATGCTGATAGAGCTGTGGGTCATTTTCCTCTGATTTCTGTGAATATTTGTGAAATTTAAAAACCCTGAAACTGTAAATGAACAAAATATGCAGGGTATGAAGAGCTTTAAAAAGACAGCAAGCTGTTTTCTTGAGGGCTTGAGACAAAAGCTTGGGTGAGGTAGTTTTTCCGTTTTTTGGAGGTGATCTCGGGAGGAACCTGGGGACAGTGATGCACACAGGAAGAGGAACTGGATGCTGGGGGCTCCTGGGGGCTCGGAATTTCAGGAAAGGCCGGCCCGGAGCACCTCTGTGCCTGAAGGTCCCGTGCTCCGGGCCTGCACCCTGGGCTCGGAGCGCCCTCCCAGCCTCCTCAGGGACTGGAACTTCTCGAGGCCCCCACGCCCCGGCCTGCGAGCCTGTGGGCCGGCGGCGGGTCGCCTTGCGCCGGCGAACGGGACGCTGCGTGGACCGGGCGGCGGGGACATGGTCTCCGTGGCCTTCCTCGAAGAACTAGAACAACGCCCGGCCGCTCGGCCGCCGCTGCAAGATCGCTCTGGCCCCTCCGAATTCCGCCCGTGCCGGACAACGGAGTTCGGAGGAGGTCCGAACGCACCGGGCCCCGGGCCAGCCGCACCCTCACACTGGCAGGCGTGAAGGTTAGTCCTGGGCGCCGTGGGGCCCGACCTGGCCCGGCCCTGGGGGTTCGCGACGGCGTGGCCCGGGCCTGGGGACAGACTCGACGGCTGCCGCCCCTCACCGACAGGGCGCTTCACTTCCATCTTCAGACCTCGCCGACCCCGGCAATCCGCGAGGGGCCCAAGGGTGCCCTGAGACGAGCACCTGTTCAAGGCCACTGGCACGGGGCCCATCCGCACGCGCAGAGCCAGGACGTCACCTGAGGTCGCGGCCGTGCGGGCGAAGCACAGCCACAGCCTGCCCGACTCCCGCTCGCAGCGGCTCTCCCGAGGCGCCTTCGCCCCGGCCTGGCCCCGGGAGCCGCGCCCCGGGGGGACGCCGCGCCCCGACCCCCCACTGCGCTCCGCCCGGCGCCGAGCCCGCGAGGTCGGCCGGCTGCCCCCGGCGAGCGCTTCGGGAAAGTACTTGAAAACTTCGGAGAGGCTCGCGGGTTCCCTCGGCGCGCACGCGCCCTGGCGGCGAGCAGCTCCGGGCCCCAGGGGGCACCGAGGAGCGAGGAAGGTCCCTCCGCCGGCTCGTCTCGGGTCTCCACGGGGCTGGGCGCGCCCACAAGGCCCGAGGTGCGCGCGCAACCCCGCGCGGGGAGGCGAGGCACCGTAGGCGCAGGTCGCCCCCTCCGCCGGGCCCACCACGTCACGCTCCGCAGGCCCTCCCACACCCTCCCGATTGGCGGAGAGCGCGCGCGAGCGCCACCGCCCCGCCCCCGGCCCCGCCCTCATGCGGCCCCGCCCCGCCCCCTGGCTCGCAGGGCTGGCTGTGCGGCTTCCAAGTTGGAACGCGAAGGCGCGGGCGCGAAAGCGCCCCGAGCCCTGGAGGCCGAGGGGGCCCCGAGCCGTCGTGCGCGCGCTCCGGCCGTCGCTCCAGGCCGGGCAGTGGCCCGCGGCTCTTCAGAAGCACGGGGCCTGCCCAGCGAGGCCCGCCGCAGGCCGCTTCTTTTCCTCGGCCCACGACCGGCCCCCCCACCCCCTCGTTGCAGAACACCCGGAAATGCCCGTTGCCCAGGCACCCCTCGACGCCGGTGCCCCCACGTACCAGGAGGTCGGTCCTCGAGGGCCCGCCGCCCGGCTCCCAGCCTGTCGGACCCGATGCGGATGCGGGTGCCGCCCGCACCTCACTCCTGGCTCCCCGAGCCCCGACCGCGGACGCCCCCTCCTGACTCCCGCTCACTCCTGGCTCCCCACGACCCCTCGCACTCCGCGAGCCCCTTGCCGCCCCGCGCGCCCCCGCGCGCCCGGGGCCCCTCGGCGGCCCGCCTCGGCGTGTGAGCCACCGCGGGTCAGGGCCTCCGCCTCCGCACAGCGCTGCCCCCCGCGCCCGCGTCGCTGACTCCTCGGGCCCCGCACCCGGACGCCCCTCACCCGGCATCTCCCCCCCCACGTATCCCCCCGCCCCAGCCCTCTCGCGGTAAACGTCCCTCCTCAGGGCCCAAACTCACTCCCGCAGCCGTGCGAGCCCCCCGCGGCCCCCGGGCCCCGCAGCGCACACCCCTCCGGACCCCGCACGCACGCCCTGGGGCCCCGCTTAGCCCCCGGCGCCGGCCAGACTCCTGCCCGCGCCGCTTCCCCCGCCCCGGGCCCCCCGCGCCTACCCCCAGAGCCGCCCCGGATCTGCCGCCCCGCCAGCCCTGCGCCCCGCTTCTCCGCCCGGGACCCCCTCACACGCGCGCTCGCCCCCCCCCCCCGCCCGGCCCTCCGTCTCCCCCGCCCCCCGAGGCCGCCGGGCAGCGCCGGGGGCGGTGGCGGGGGCCGGTCCCGGGGCCGGGACACACCCACCCGCCCGCCCTCCTTCTCTCCCTCGCTCCCGCCCTCCCGCCCGCGCTCGGCGCTCGCTCCTTCCCCCCCGGCCGCTCCCGCTTCCCGCGGCGCCCGGCCTCCCGCTCCGCCTCCCCGTGCGCGGCTCTCCCGGGCGCGGCTCCGGGGTTCATGGTGACGAGGCGGCGGCCGCTCGGGCCCAGCGGCGGCGGCGGGAGCTGGGGCGCGGGCCCGGGCCGCCTCTCCCTGAGCGCGGGGCCGGGCGGCGGGCGCGCCCAGGCGGCGGCGGCGGCGGCGGCGGCGAGCGCCCCCCCCGGCCCGCGGCCCCGCGCGCCCCCCGCGCCGCGCCCCCGCGCGCCTGGCTCGCGGGGGGCCGGGCCGGCGGGCGGACGCCGCGCCGCGCACCCATGGACGGCCCGGCCATCATCACCCAGGTGACCAACCCCAAGGAGGACGAGGGCCGCGCGCGGGGCGCGGGCGAGAAAGGTGAGCAGGGGCGCGGGCGGGGGGCCGACGCACTCCCCGCGCCGCCGGAGTTGGCCGCCGCGCGCCCGCACGGGCCTGGGGGAGGGGTGCGCCCGCGCGGGAGGGCGCGTGGGGGCGGGGGGGCGTGTGTGGCGGTGACCCTGACGCGCTGCATGCTTAGGTTTGCGGTCCCTCAACGGAGAAGTTGGGAGCGCGCGTGTGTGTGTGTGCGCGCGTGTGCGCGCGTGTTGCCGGCAGGTTGTGAGTGCTTGTGCCCTGTGGGTTTTGTGTGTGCATGAGACCAAGAGGTGCCGAGGACGCTGCGCACCTGACAAGTTGTGAGTGCATGCGTGTGCCTGGCGGATCCTGAGTGTGTGTGCACTTGCACGTGTGTGTGCTCACGCCAGCTGAGACTGTAAGGGCGTCTGTGCGCGCACGGAGAGGTCGCGGGTGCATGGTTTAGGCCACGAGGTTCCGTGTGTACCCTATGTACAGGATGGTGTGCAGCCAAGAGGTTGTGGAGTAAGGATGTGTGTGTCTGCATGAGCGTGAGCCTGCAGAGAGCGCGTGTGTGTGTGTGTGTGTGTGTGTGTGCGCGCGCATCGCGTGCCTGCCCCACCAGCTGGCAGGTGGAAGACCTCGGGTCCTCGGACTGGAAGGTTGTATGTGTTGTGCACTCGCACACGAAGCTGTGCCGTGCCCGCCGTCTGTGTGCACCAGCCAGGCTGTGTGCCTGGGTGTTGTAGTTGGTTGTGCAAGTGCGGGGGGAGGGGGCATTGCCTAAGCCGCCCCGCGTTTCTCGGCTTCTCTCTCCGTGACCACAGCCTGCTGGGAGCGTTTGCAGGCCTGGCTCTCCCGGGGCCCCTGAGGGCGCCGCTAACAGAGCAGGGGTCCCGGGGTGCCGCGGCGCCCCTCTCCCTGCGCTGCAGGGCCGGCCTTCGTTCTGGCGCATTGACCCCATCGCCCTCTTCTGCTTCCTTCTCGCCCTCTCCCTTTGCCCCTGTCCCTCTCGGACACTGCACGTCCCCTTCCCGTGCGGCCCTGCTCACCGCCCCAGTGACTGTCCTGAGGTTTGGAAGGGCCAGGGAGTCAGGCTGGCGTCCGTCTCTTCCTGCGGCGTGTCCCCCAAACACCTGGACTGGTGTCGGAGCAGCCCCCCACGACCGCCACCCCCACCCCCGGCTAGCCGGGCTACCCGACTCTGCGAAGGAACCGGATTTCTTTCCGTGTTGTGACCCTTGCTGTGCCAGTGGGGTGGGTGTGCAGCCCATCAGCGCACATGGGGTGGAGGTGGGGGCAAGCCCCTTCCAAGCAGGGACTGCTGGGGAGGCCCACCAGAAGATGCGAGAAGCCACCAGAGACACCCCCAGCCCATGGACTTGTCAGCGCCTTTGCGCTCTCGTAGTCGGTGAACGTGAACGTGAACGTGAACGTGACGTGTCCGCAGACGCGTCTTCTTTCGCGGAGAATTGGAGCTCAGACGCCGCAGGCGGGTTCCGTGCCGCGCAAACTGGCCGCGAAGTCCGCGGGGAGGCGCTTCGGGTCAGCCTGTCCCCCTGGGGCCCGAGCGGGCAGCTCAGAGCCGGCCTGGCCTCCGCGCCGGGGCGCTGTCCGTGCGCGCGCCCCGGGCAGGCGGCGGGCCGGGGGCGTCCTCCCGCGGAGGCCAGTGGGCGGCGGGAAGGTGGGCGCTGCCCCTGCCGCCCAGCCGCTCCGGGTCGAGTTTGGGGCGAGCTTTGCCAGGCAAGTCCACTGCTCTTAGGAAGAGAGGTGGGGCGCCAGGCCGGGAAGTGCTTGTCAGGGCCGCCCCAGCCCGCGTCTAGGGGTGGGGTCCCCCCACCTCTCTCTCCCTCCAGCTGCTGGGCTTTTTAGGGTCAGTCTGTCCAGAATCCAAGCCGCGCACCGGTGGCCGAGGCTGCTGCTTATTCTGTTCAACCTGCTTACATTACTTTCCATGGCGATCTTTTATCATCTTTAACAGCTTATTTTGTTTGTTTTCTAGTGTCAGGCTGGCCGATGGGTGTCTGATTAGGCCAGTGCCTGCTGCTCTGGGGTGGGGTGGCTAGCTCCTGCATTCCTCTTGCTGGAACGTTAAATAGGGACTCGATTCAGCTTTTCACTTTAAAAAATGGAAAAAAGTGGTCAGTTACAATGTGACAGTAAAGTTCAGAGCCAGAATTTGGAACAGCGTCTTCACATTCATAAATCACTAAACGGGTTCAGCAATGTTTCTAGCTTAAGCATGCTGATCTGTTTAGATAGGCCCAGTATATTTTACATGATTTAAATTTTAGGTAAACAATCATTTTGTTTTTATCTACGGGGCCTGAAATGTTGTGAGTTTTTGTGGGAGGAAAGAGACTACTGGTGTTAAAAAAGTTTATTTTATCATTTATTCCGTAAAACGGGAATAATAATGACTGCTTTTGTGGTTTGATAGGTGGGTTAAAACAAAAATACTAGATGCTGGCTATGGTGTTTGCACAGTTGAGTTACCTCTTGACACACTGCCACGTGGGGGTGCGGTTCTTGGAGATGACTGTCATGATTGCCACCGACAGCCTGGCCTGTCAGGGAAGATTTATGTCTGGGTTGTGTTTGATTTGGGTGACAGTACAAAGATGCAGAGACAGATTTCCCTGGGAGCTCAGCTCAACCTGCTCCGCTGTCTAGAAATTCACTCTTACAAATCAATAGGCAGAGCTACCCAGGGCAGTGGGAAAGTGGGCAGCAAGTCCTAGCGTGGAAGATACGAGTCCAGTAAACACACCACGCGGTGCTCCACCTCCTGTGCACGACTTGCAAGCACCAGCTTGCTGAAACATTTAAATGGCTGGCAACATTCAAAGTAAATAAAAGTTTTGGGAAATGGATACTCTTCTAGACTTTTGTTGGAGAGAGAAAGAAATAAAGACTTTTTAGAGAATAGTTCAGTACCGAATCGCTTAGGAACCTGTTTGGCTGCAAGTAACAGCAAACCCTCAAACCAGTAGGACTTCATTCCCACACAGCCAAGTCTGGAGGGCAGCTCCCGCTGGCTTGGGCTCCGCAGCCCGTGGATGGCAGGACTGACATCACCATGATTCTCCGGCTTCTGTTCGTGCTGTAACATGGCCGCCTCCCCTCCAAACCCTGCAGCCTCCTTCGGGCAGGAAAAAGGGACAGTGCCAGTCCTGTCTGTCCCCTTTACCTGGAAAGCAGAAACGTTTTGGGGACGGCTCAGCAGACTTCTGGGGATGTTTACTTAGCCAGAGCTGGGTCACATGGTCACCCCTCGCTGCAAGCAAGCGGCTCTCCAGCTTTTCCAGCCTCTGCATGGGAGGCAGATGATTAGAAATCGGTGGGAACAGCGTTGTTCAGCCAATCAGCGATGGTGGCCGTACCTTCAAAGTTGTGCTTCTGTTGCAGGGTGTTTCTCCTAGGGATCAAAGAAGCGTGTGCAGGGGTTGTCACTGATGGGTACAGTGCTTGCAATAGCAAACCATCCATTCTGAGTTCATTTTTTTATAAGATGAGAAACTTAGGTCCGTTTTTTGCTGTTGAAGCAATTAGACATAAATTGTTGGAAAGGCTCTCCTTCCTCTTTTGAATTTCCTTTGTATCTGTATCAAAAATCGGTTCAGCATATTAGTGTGGGTCTCTTTTTCTTTAGTTTTTTTTTTTAGTTTATTCATTTTTGAGATAGAGACATAGATTACAAGCAGCGAAGGGGCAGAGAGAGAGGGAGACAGAATCTGAAGCTGCTCCAGGCTCTGAGCTGTCAGCACAGAGCCCGACGCGGGGCTCGAGCCCACGGACCTCGAGATCGTGCCCTGAGCCCCAGGCGCCCCGCATGGGTCTCTGTCCGGCTTGTGGGCCCTGCTGACCTACCAGAGCTGTGTATTACATCTTGAAATGGGACGCACTGATTTCCCCAAGTTTTGTTCCTTTTCTTGCTGAGATTTTGATAGGAATTGAATTAAACCTGTGTGTACATTTGGGGAGAACTGATATCTTTAGTCTGTTGAGTCTTCTAATCCACGAACACATTGTTTTTCTATTTATTTAGATGTTCTTTGATTCTTTCCATCAGGGTTGTATAGTTTTCAGCATATCAGTCCTGTTGATGTTTTGTTAGATTTACATTTAAATGTTTCTCTAGCTTGTTTTAAGTGATCATATTGTTCTTTTAACTTTGGTCCAAGTGTCCATTACTGGTATATAGAAATAGAATTTAATTTTCGTATGTTTGTTTCATATCCTATGACCTTGCTGAGCTCACTTATTAGTTGTAAGAGGCTTTGTAGATTTCTTGCAGCTTTTTAGATAGACAAGCATATCAAATAAGAACATTTATATTTCTTCATTTTTGATTTGTATGTTTTTTATTTCTTTTTCTTGCTTTATCGCACTCACTAGAACTTCCAGAGTATGTTGAATAATAGTGGGGAGATTGGACAGCCTTCCCAGTCTTTACCATTGACTATAATGTCAGCTATAGGGCTTTTTTTTTTATTTTTTTAAATTTTGTGTCTTTATCAGGTTGAGGAAGTTTCCCTATCTTCCTATTTTTATGAAAGCTTTTTATCAAGAATGGATGTTATTATTTGGTGGGGAGGATGCCTGGGTGGCTCAGTCGGTTAAATGTCTGACTCTGGACTACATTTGGATCAGGTCATGATCTCCTGTTTTGTTTGTGAATTTGAGCCCTGCATCAGGCTCCTCAGTGACAGCCCAGAGCCTGCTTAGGATTTGCTCTCTCTCTCTCTGCCCCTCCCATGCACTCTCTCAAAATAAATAAACTTTTAAAAGAATTTTTTAAAAGGATGTTATTATTTTGTCACGTGGGATTTTTTTTTTAATATTTTTATTTATTTCTAGGGGAGAGAGAGAGAGACAGCGTGAGCAGGGGAGGGTCAGAGAGAGAGGGAGTCACAGACTGAAGCAGGCTCCAGGCTCTGAGCTGGCAGTCAGCACAGAGCCTGACGCGGTGCCCGAACCCACGAACCGCGAGATCATGACCTAAGCGAAAGTCCGACGCTCAG